CCGCCACCACCGGATGCCCATCGTCGTTTTCTCGCCATGGATCCTGTCCGTGCCTCCTCAGTGGCCAGCCCAACGACCTCCCGTCACCTCCCCCGAAGGTTGAACCTTGTTCTGCATGTTGCTACTGCACACCACACCTTGCACCCACCGTGGGCAAGTGGCGGCCGAGCAACCAGCCTAGACGACCCATGCCGCAGGGCCACGGATGCTGTTGGGACCTCTGATTGATCGTCTTGACTGTCCACTTGACCATTTCGCCAATTTCTCGTCACCTCGGTCTCTAGCCTACGGCCAAGATATGCTTGCATTTACTCTAGCCCATCGTGGCCAACCGTGAATCAACTAGAAGAAACGAGATAGCAGGTGGCTGCGGCCATCTACTTTTCGATTTTTGCATGAAGACATCCTCGCTTTAAAAATACTACCCGTTCACGCGGAATTGGGGAGAAGGAGTTAGTTAAGTCTAGGCGTGCGAATCGTGCATACATGGAACTTAACGCCGGCTATAACGCCTCTAGTTCTTAATCTCTTCGGACCCGATATCACCAATTCACCGTGGCGCGAAATCGTCAGTTTACCGCAAGATACTAATGGGCCGGACAAGGATTTATCAGTCCACTTGATGGCTTAGGCGCCGCGCTTCTTTTTGACCGTCGATAAACCATGCTCGAGCGGTCCACCTGAATTGAGCTTGAATGGACTGTCTGGATAGTCACGATCCGAATTGAGCTGCATGTCACCTCACCGTCTTCACTGTCACATCCTTGGCTCTCCACCCATCCTCCTCTTCCGTGCTACTCGGACCCTGGTTCCGGCATCTGCACCTTCGATGCCCCCCCAGCACACATCAGGACCAACCCCGGCCTGGCTCGTCACATCCTCCAGGGCGCCACATACATAGCTGCTACTAGCTGCTCTACTGATCTTCGCCGACCCCCTCATCGTAGTTGCTTCTTTATTGCCTGGACCGCCACTTGGGCCGCAGCTCAAGAGACCTCTTCCTCTTCCCCATCAACCGATCTCTTACACGGCCGGCGAGGCTGTGACTATTCCCGAATCAAAGGAGATCTACAAAGTGTCACTGATGGTTTTTGCACTAGGCCCTTGACACTCGACCTCCTTTGCCACCCTCGTTATCATTGCCTAGATCTCCGTACCTCCGTGGTTTCTTATCAATTAGACGTCCCTGAATCAGCACACACCATAATCAGCCAGAGACCATTTATTAGCTTCGACACGCATAGAGACTTGCTTTCAGTATATTACTAGAGCATCGAGCCAAGGGGTAGTTTCGTCTCATCTCATTCCACCAAAGCCGTCCCGAACTCCCCACTTTGGCCGATCTGCACGAGCTTGCCTAGCACCTCGACCCTGCGATATCAAAACTGTTTGTTTGTTCCTACTTTAAGACACGGCCGTTGGCCGTTGTGAACTCATGTAAACATCAAAAGAGTCTGGTGTTAGAGCCATAGTCACCATCGTCACCTCGTTCTGGTCTACTGAACAGTACAGTCGCGATGGCATCTCACCTGCGCCAATTCGCCTCCGAGGCTACGAAGAAAGTCGCCGGGCTGGTCAAGCGAATTGATATCCCCCTAACTGCTCAGAGTCCCGCCGGCCTTGTGCAGGCTCATTACGTTGACCCCTGGGAGAAATCCGGCAAGTATGCTCTGGGATGGACATACTTTGCTATCGCACTCATGCTCTCCGTTTTTGTGGTGCGTCTGTGGCATTTCTGGCAGGATAAGATTCGCCAGGCCATGTACAAGCAACAACTCGAAGAACACTACAAAAATCTCTACAATGTTGATGCCGCCTATGTCATGGCCGCTATGCGGACTGGACAGGCCCAACAATTCTTTCCAGAAGGCGAGAACGGCGACGAGAAGGGATTCCGACCTAAGGAAAACATGTCCTCAGTGACGATTATCAACGATGTTTTGGCGCTGTTTCGATGGGTCTTCTATCGCCCTATTCCAGATTTTACCTGGGGAAAGCGACGCATCACTTTCTCCTCCTTGGCTGTCCTCACTTGTGTCCTGATTGCCACCGTTTTCGTCACACTCTACTGCTTTCTCAAATCACCCTTATACTGGCAGAGCATCCAATTCGGCTCTCCACCTTTGGCTATCAGAGCCGGCATGATTGCCGTTGCCATGACGCCCTGGATCATCGCAACTAGCATGAAGGCGAACATTGTTACAATCATGATTGGCATTGGGCCAGAGCGGCTCAATGTATTCCACCGATGGCTTGCATATATCTGCCTGTTCCTCGCGTTGGTACATACAGTCCCCTTCTACGTTCAACCCGTCTGGGATGACGGTGGCATGAAAGTGTTCCAAAGACTGTTCCCTGGTGGCAGTGGAGTTATCTATGGAACAGGTATTGCTTGTCTGGTTCCGCTTATCTGGCTCTGTGTTGCATCCCTCCCCTGGATAAGAAGGATCGCTTATGAAGCTTTCGTTCTTCTTCACATTCCCGTTGCTATGGTATACATTGGCGTTTTGTTCTGGCATACCAAGAACTTCTTGATGTCTTGGGGTTATCTCTACGCCTCTATCGGGATATGGGTAGTTTGCTACCTGATGCGATATTTCAAGCTCAATTGGCTCAAGCCATGGAGGCTGGCCTTCATGGTAGGCGACGAGGCCGCCATCACCCTAATGTCGGAGAATGCCATCAAGATAACGATTCCCACTCAAATGCGCTGGAAGCCCGGGCAATATGTCTACCTGCGCATGCCGGGCATTTCATTCCTGGATAATCACCCTTTCACCATCGCATCGCTCTGTAGCGACGATTTTCCTTCTGAGTATGGCGAGCAATACAGAGACTGCGTTCTTGTATTCAAGCCTTATGCTGGTTTCACCCGCAAAGTTCTCAACACAGCCATCGAGAAGGGACCGTTCCACACGTATCGAGCATTTTTGGATGGGCCATATGGCGGTATGCGCCGCGATCTGTCAGCCTTTGACACTTGCATTCTGGTTGCTGGTGGCAGTGGTATCACCGCCTTGATGTCTCAGTTATTGAATTTGATCAAAAGAATGCGTGATGGCAAGGCCATCACCCGCAAAGTCGTGGTTGTATGGGCGATGAAGAGACTTGAAGCGATGGATTGGTTCCGCGAAGAACTTCGAATTTGCCGAGACTCTGCACCTCCAGAGAGCGTGACTTGCAAGTTCTTTGTCACAGCAGCAGTTCGAAGGCGCCCTGGACACGAGATGGACCCATTGGCTCGGCCTACGGGCGACAGGGCGCTGACTCATGCTTTCCACGACAAGCTGGATGGATTCGTTGCTGGAATTGCTTCCAAGCGCAACTCAGCTATGATACACTCCGAAGCTCAGGGCGACCCTGAGAGGGAGCAGCAGCTGCGTGCTGAAGATCAGGATCGCATCACTGCTCTCCCCCAACAAAAGTATCTCCAATCACATATTGCTCCAGCTCCCCCCAAGCAACAACAAAACCAAGGGAAACTCATCTCTCCTATCGAGGATGACAACCAGCAGAAATTTGACGCTTATGGCTACCCCCTGGACAAGAAACCGGTAGAGGACTCCATCGAGGAGGTTCAGGATCAGCAGTTCCACTTCCCCCCCATCGTGAAGGAGAACCCCCCTCATTTCAACTATGCGCCGGCTTCCCCCAAATTCCCCCCGGGATCAAATCCGGAACAGCAGAAAGGAAGCCTGCCTGTCCGAGCTCCCGAGCTTGCTCACCTGCGGACGACGGATCTGCCACCACAGGAACAGAAGCCGAGACCGACATCAACATTTGGGCCTCCATCCGGCTTTGAGTTTGGATTCCCCGAGACCCCAACCGAGTTTCAGAAGAACCTCATGCGGTTCGCGTTCCCAGTGCCTCATGAAATTGACGGTGGCTGGAGCGTCGAGTATGGCCGGCCAGACCTGTCCTATATGCTCAAGGAGTGGGCGACGGGTGGCACAGACGGGCGAGGTATCCTGGGCAGGAGGACTGCGGTGTTTGTGTGTGGCCCACCAGCGATGAGAGTCGGCGTTGCCAATACGGTGGCGCGGCTTCAGGCTGGGATCTGGGGCGACGATGCGCTGGAAGAGATCTTCCTGCACACAGAGAACTATGCTCTGTAAACTATCACGAGCGATATGATTGGGCATTATGGGGTTGGAGTTTCTTTGAATGGGATTTCGGAGTTGGGTAGTGCTACGGGATTGTATGAGTGCTCTACAAAAGATACCACCACTGTTTATGCTGCCATGTATATAGTCAACCAACAGACTCTAGCGAAGGGTCTATGGACATACGACATCTCATTAATAATATATGATATCCTTACTATTTCGTATTTGATCTCACCTTGTGACTGTAACTGGACTTGACAACGTGGGAGAGTTCAAACTGGGCGGGGTGGAGGGGGAACGGGATTGAGCGAGTTGAGGGGGAGGGGCAACTTTGTGTGTAAGCAAGCACGCGATCGGCCCAACATACCAGGACCTCATGACCACATTCATGGCCCTTGAAACGCAATTCGCGCGCAACATGCCCGTTAGTAATTGTTCCGGGGCAAGGGAGACCCGGGCTGGGACCATTTTATCCTTCTTAAAAGGCAGCAAGAGAGTGGGATTTCTCTTTTAATGGCACGAAACCGTGGATCCGATGAGCAGTGACTAGATGCCTCCGGTGAGGACCCTGATGGATAGGTTGAGCCCGGCTGTCCACATTCACAGTTGACGGGCCTTGAGGACTGCGTCTTGCCATCAAGGTATTAATTGTCGGGACGAGGTGTCCTTCTGCGGACGGAAACTCTGTTCTTCTTTTTTCCTTGTTTCTTGCTACTTCTCCTTTCCCTGCAATCGCTTTGAACAATATCAGCCACCTTGAGTTCAATAACCGTGATATTGAGTTGGCTATTGCTTCGACTGATTCTCCTCTTCTAATTGATTTCGCAAGCCTTCAGCCTGCAAGTAGAAGAATTGCCAATCGCTAGATACACACCAGGATCTCAGACCGCAGATATGGCAGATTGCATCATGGAGGGCGACATCGACAAGATCGCCAAAGGCTGGTCCATCGCCATGCGCTACTCGGAAGAGCGCCTGAAGAGAGTCTACGACCTCGACAGCGAGAAGCTGGACGCTGCCATCCACGAGGGAAGGCTGGTTCTGGAGACCGTCTGCCTGTTCGTCCACGCCTGTGTGAAGCACGGCCAGTACAAGTGAGTCCCTGGCCAGTTCTTGACACCGAATTGGCGGGAGTGTGTGCTTACGTGTGTGCTATACAGATTACCTCTGGAGTTCTGGCGGATACTGCACGCTGAATACGGCATCGTCGTGTATCCTACCGCGTTTACGGAGGATGTTGATGTGCATGGTGTTGGGACCGACTGCACGTTTACGGATGCTTACTGTGGGCATATAAGTATGTTTAATTCTGGCTCATCCATCGAGCTGAGAGGATCATATGAACCCTCTTTGACGTTGCAGCGGAAGACTGACGAGTTCCCAGCTATGTTTGGGCGATGCACTTCTGCACACCCGCCGCCGTGCCCCTTCCAGTACCTGCGCGAGCCACCTCCGGTATACGAGAAAGTGTGCAGCTGCCAGGTAGACTCGGTAGAGTCAATAGAGTTGGACGCATGAGGCTCACCGGCGGGTGGTTGATAGATCTGGTGCATGGGTGGGTGGGATAGATAGATAGTTGGGTTGGGTTCATATTGTTTTCAGTAGCGTGGTCATGAGGGTTGGGAGTGTTTTACGTTGGACGGTTCTTTCTTTGTGTTTCTTTTCCTTTGTTAGCATGATGGGAGGGAGAACTACTTGGCGGTACAAGTAGCAACAAGAATTAGGAACGATTGAAGAAAAATGGTTATGAATTCACTTTACTCCCCGCAGCCCCGTCCCGATTCGCCCTCCACACGCCCTCCTCCCCCTCAAACTCCTCCCGCTTCCAGATCTCGACCTTGGTCTTGCACTCCTCGAGCGCCTCCTCGGCCGCCCTCCACGCGGCCTGCCGGTGCGGGGCGGACACGGCGATGAGGATGCTCTCCTCGCCGATGGGCACCGTCCCCAGCCGGTGGACCATGGCGATGCCCTGCAGGCCGTGCCTCTCCCTGATGTCCTGGACGATGGAGAGCATGGTGCGCAGCGCGCGGGGGTTGTAGGCCGAGTACTGCAGCTCCTTGACGGGCTTCCCGCCAAAGTTGTCTCTTGTGGTGCCTGAGACCAACGGAACCAGAGGGCAGCGAATGAGCATGGGATTCTTGGGCTGTTAATTTTAGGAGAATGGGAGGAGATTCACACCTGCGAAGAGGACGATGGCCCCGGCGGCTGGGCTGCGGACTCTGTCGGTGACCTGCTGCATGTTGAGGAGGTTGTGAGTGAGGGCTACGTAACAGCCATCTGATGACCTTTCGAGTGAGTCTGCACGTTCGCTCTCCATGTGGGAAGCTGTGGCGAGAGCTGCGCTGCTAGATTGTTACATGTACATAAAGAAAGACTTGATGAATGTGTGGCTGCCCGTTGATTAGATTCGAATGGGTGGGCAGCCAGCCCAATAGAGCTTGACTAATCCCCATCTACGCAGTATGTGTGTGGTTCATCTCGCTGGACAGCAGAAACATCACCTAGGGCATCAATAGCTGGGTTAATACACAATATTAGCAGGGTGCACAAATTGATAATTGTAGCCGTCTCTGGCGTGTTCAATTGTTTGGGTAGAAGACAAAGGCAAAAAGAGTAAAGACAAAGGAAATAACGAAGGAAAGAAAGGAATGGCATGGGGAAGGCGCTGCTCAACATGCTCTTGTCTGACGCAGGCCTGAGCTTGCGCTATCGCCCTGGAAAGCAAAGCGGTGACTAAGCGGCCGACGGCCCTGCGACGACCGCCAACTGTCACCAGCTGCCTCAGCCTGGCTTCACGTCCGTCCATTGCGCGCACGCATTCAATTGCCCTCGACGACCAGAATTTGCCCGTTGGAGCCGTGCCTAGGTGCTGAAGTGCACGCACGGTACCCACCGCCAAAATGAATACCGCTTCTCACCACGATCCCCCCAGCCGAGCGAGGCCTGACTTCTCGCAACATCGACCTTCTGAGAAACCCGAACCAACCGATTCCCACCAAGATCGATCTGACAACCACCACCATTCCCGACAGGGTAAAGACAATACCAAACACACGCGTGCCTCGTCTGCTGAGGACTGAGACTCCTATTCTCAACGCGGAACTCTGGTTCCCGTGGATAATCTTTGATCAACGAGGCTAACTTCCCCAACGATCGCCGAGACGAATCCAGGTCTCCCCCCAGGCACACCATGCCTCGCAACTCTCGCGGCAGAGGCGGCTATGACCGCCCATACAGGTATGAGGGTGATAATCATTATGGTGACCAGGGGTCGTCGCGTAGCATGCCACGAGGTCGGTCGGCCCGCAATGATGAGTACAACAACAACATGTACGATGATGGCCAGCCTTCGGGCGAGTATGGTCGTCGAGATCGTCAACCAAGCCGCGGCAGAGGAGGATATGAAGGCGATGGCAGACGTCAACGAGATTCTGAAGAAAAAAGCTTCACCACTACCCCCCCATGGAGGTCCGTCAGCCGAAGCAGGTCCCATAGCCCGGGACTCGACCCTGGCCAACCCTCTGATACCGTGATTGTCGAGAATCTCCCTGCCAATATCCCCACCGACGTGGTAAGTTGATGCTTTTTGATGTGTTTCCCCCCCCTATTCCCAACCCGGTGGCTGACATGTCTTTTCACAGCTTCACGAATGCATTCTCAACAACTCTGCCGTTGCTAACTTTAACGACGTTGAAGTGCGAATTAAATCTGCAAGAGGTTTGTGACGAGATTTCATGCCGAGTTCCCACACTTCCCAACTAACTTTTGCGTTTTAGGAGGTCGCAATGCTTTCGTGCAATTTGCTTCTGTGGATGAGGCGGCTGCCTTTGTGAAGCAATACTTCCCGTATCTGCCCATGCAGTTACCACGTTCTGATGGCGCCCCGAACGGTAGATTCGAGGCATACTTCCAATATGCTCGAACCCGGGACGGGCCGGAGGATCAACGCAAGAACGTTGATGACTGGAATTGCGCATTTGTATGCTTCTGGTGCTGAACCACACTAAAGAGGATCTTTCTGACTGACTTCCTTTAGTGCAATACTTCCAATTACTCAACAAGGAGCTTCTGCAGGGGGTGTAGTGCGCGTCCCGTCGGTATGTTATCTCCTCTTGGTGACCGATTAGTTCCTTTTTCTAACAGCGAGTTGCAGATGAGTCGGAGTGGTTGGCTACGCTGACCGGCGCCACTGATGCTGGCGACCAGCCCTCGCACATTCTGGTGGTCTATCCAATCTTGCCGGACGTAACTGAGGCCATGATGGCCAGTGACATGAAGCGTCTTGAGTTGGAAGCGCCCGCTCCCGTGAAGGACACGAGTCAAGGTGCACCTAAGCTCAAGTCGACAGCGCCAACAGAGAATGCTGCTGGGTATGGTGCCCGACCTGGATCTCTTCACCGAGTCTTTTTGATGAGAACCACCGCATCCGACAAATCAGCCAGATATGGCTTTGTAGAGTTCTGGACGGTCGAGGATGCGAATGCGGCCATGATCAAGTTCCGCAAGCTCAAGTCCTTCTCTGTCGCAGCCTACCCTGCCACGGTATCCCACACCCACATGGGGGTCTTCTCTGAGGAAGATCGCAAAGCCCAGCCTGAGATAGAGAAGGAATCGTTCAATCCTCTCATGAACCCAGCAAAACGCGTTCGCTACCGCGATGTTCGCCTTTACCCTAGCCAGTTCATCGTTACACAAGAGCCGCCGGAGGATAAATCTGCTGCCCAGACCGCAGACAAAAGTGCTACCGAGGCTAAGAATACAACCGGTGGTGCCCGTGATGCTAATCACGCGAAGAAGCGCAAGCCCGAAGGGATTGTCGCCACACCATCGAAGAAGTCTTCGTTAGTTGGGCATATGGAAAGATGGCAACGCAGGCAAGATGAGCTGTACGGAGCTAAGGATTCGTCACCTGAAAGTTTTGCCACCGCCAGTTCTGTCAACAGGACACCCATCAGCGCATCGCCCTTGAAGAAGTCTACCAAGGCGGGTCGAGAACCTCCTATCAAGTTTAATTTGTCTCTCAATGCTTCTCTGGCTCAGCCTGCTCCTCCGGCTGGACCCCAATGCTCAGAGGAGCATAGTAGCCCTGAAAAGCGTGACAATTTATCATCAGCAACTGATGACGACGTAGCCGTCGAGAAAGATGAGGTTTCCTTTATTGACCGAGATAGGCTCATGTGCTACTTGTGCGTGCTCAAGTGGACCCAGCTTAAGCATGTTGATTTGCACGAAAAGACGGACAAACACAAAGCGGCCATGAATGACCCCGCTATGGTTGAGAAAGCGCATGTGTTGATGGCGAAGGCGCAAAAGGCTGCCAAGCAGAAATCTTCGGAGGCAGCTTCTACTCCTCAGTATCGTGACCGTGCCAAAGAGCGACGAGAGGCGTACAGCAAGTCCGGCATGTCGCGCGAGCAGGATGAAGCTGGCAGCAACGGCCCTCTGGAGCCCATGCCAACCCCGACCAAGCAGAAGGCTCCCAAACCCGCGCAGTCCAAGGGAGCTGGCATGCTGGCCAAGATGGGCTGGACTTCAGGGGCTGGACTGGGTGCCAACGGCGAAGGCCGCACCGAAGCCATTGCGATGAATGCCTATCAACAGGGCGTAGGACTTGGCGCCGAGGGGAGCAACCTCGGCGATGCGGCTCAGCTGGCGGAGCGCAAAACAAAAAACGACCCCGGCGACTACCGCGCCATGGCCCAAGAAAAGGCGAGAGAGCGGTTCATGAAGATGGGCTAAAGCTGAAAGTCCCAAGTGGACTAAAGTGGAGAGATCCCTAGTGACCAAACGAAAAGATCTCTACCACTGCCTGCGTTCTTGGTCTTGTTGCTTGCTTTCTCTTCATCATTTTCTTCCAATTCTTGTTTTAATACTTTCTGGCTTTCATTTTCTTTGCTTTGGCCGTCTTTTGCAATTTCAACACGATTTCGGATCACAACCACGAGGACCGTGGTACAACGAGGAGACTAATTTGGGGTTGCGGCGTTTGCTTATTTTTTGCGATGAGAAAGAACAAAAGGAGATGTGACTTGTACGATACTCGCATCGGAGTTTTAAAGAGCTGACTGGTCGAAGCAGTCGAAGCATTTCTTCTTTTTTGTGTTTGCGTGACTCCTAGGAAAGCAACATGAGCTTCGGGGTCAGGTGAAGGAAGGGGCGGGGAGAACTTGTGCTTGTGTCGTTTACTCACTGGTCTCTGAGGGCTACGGTTTTTCGAGATCAGGACGACAGAGGTGTGTGTTTTCGCTGGCTTCTCCCTGAACGTCGAAGCAGCTGCGAGTGTGGTGTGATTCTTTGGTCTCGAGTTGAGGACCGCGAGGTTCGAATGGGGAAAAGTTGTGCTTTTGAAGTTGCCCGATGCTCTCTGAGGGCTACGTTTTCGAGAGCAGGGAAGAAAAAGAAAGTGTGTTTGTGCTTGCCCCTTGCTGAACAAAGGCAGTCGTTCGTGTCTGTGTGGCCTCTAGTCGAGGATCACGAGGTTTGAGGTTTGGTGAAGGGGGGAAAAGCTTGTGCTTGCGAAGAACTTGCTCACTGGTCTCTGAAGACTACGGTTTTGACAACAGTGAGGGGGAAAGGGTGCTTCCGCGATGACTTCTCGCTGGAGATGGCGAGGCTCAAGGTGAAGCTCATTGATTGCTAGTTGCTGAGGATCACGAAATCATCTCAAGGATGAACAAATGGTGTTTTTCTGACACAAGATACATGTTAGAGTCAATAAACGATTGGTACAGCTTGCTCACTTTGCCGTGAAGATGAAACAACGCGTGAAGATGCTTGTGTTGATGTTTGCTATACCATACATACCCCTTGAGTTCAAATGGCAAGTGGGTGAAGAACAACAAGACAGGGATTTTCAGTGAGAAATCTCACCGAAATTCGGGCCATGCGTTCTTCACCCACTTGGATGATGGCGATTTAGATTTGTGGCTTTCTGAGACGAGACACGGCACGTGGAGAGTTCCTGGGGGAAAGGCGTGAAGGAGAAGGGCTGATGAAAACGGAGTAGAGGCAAGGCTATCAGCCTCTAGCTCGTCGCTAGTGGGGGAAGTTGGAATTTGGCGGAGGGCCTAGCGCGGTGGAGGTACGTACCGCATTTCTCAGCTTGGTCTGAGGTCTAAAGTCTGAGTTCAGCCGCCTGGAGGCTGAGCAACAGTGCCCGTTGGCAACTGTGAAGTCTGCGTGTACGCGTACTACATCTACCTTAATCACCCACCCACACCGCAGAACACGGTCATTCATGGCTGCAGAGGTTCGATGACGGGCAGCGTGGAATCGATTCACGGACCCTTGGCCGTGGCGGGGCAGCTGAACTCGCGGGGGAGGGATTCGGCCACTTAGCGGGCGAGGCTGACCTCAATAGGCGATCTTCCGCCCAAGATCCTGGAACCCAGCCTGGAACATGGGCCAATGGTGGGGCTATTCATTGTCATTTTGCCATTCTACACAGCCCATTGCAGATGCCTGTCGCCTGCCTCGATGCGTATGTACGTATATGCAGGCAACTGCTTTGCGTATCGAGGATAAACGGCCGGCCTTGGCACAGCATAACAGCGGGAAAAAGCCTCATGCATGCAGGCAATTGCCCGCTGCAGATGTCGCCTGGCTGCTCTGACCTTGGCCACCGTAGGCACCTACCTGTAGCACCTACCAACTAGCGGACTACAGGTATAGTAGCCAGAGCAACTGTAGGTAGGTAGCACATGCTGGGAAGGTGCTAGACTCGTACAGCTTAATGATAGTGTTTGGGGAAGCGATCTGGAGCCATCGGTTGCACATACCTCCTCACCTCCTCCCCCCTCCTGGGCCTCCCGCACGCACCTTACGTTATTAGAGTTGACCCGGGCTACACTAGCAGGCAGAAAGTGTCCAGCCATCTCCATCTGAGGAGGCTGTGTCGTACCTGCTGTCTGCTGCCTACCTACTGTGCAGCTGGTGGGAAAATAACAAACGACTCCCCGGGATTGCTCACTCTGCCCAAACATCCAACCGGTATTGCTGTGCTGAAACACTCGTTTGACCCAGACTATATATTATTTTAATACGCACAGCACAGGGAACCGGGAGAGCCAGGACAGGACCAGGAGCATCGCCATGCAGTGGGCATACCTCCTCGGGCTGGTTGCTGCAGCCACCGCCGGCCATGTCTCGATCCCCTTCTCTCGTCAAGACTACTCTGCGTCGGCCGCACTAGTCAAGCGTCAGGCCTCAAAGGACATCACCCTGGAGGCCCTCAACAACCTCACCGGCGGCGGCTACTACTCCGAGTTCTCGATTGGAACTCCTCCCCAGAAAGTCAGCTTCCTACTCGACACCGGTAGCAGCGACACCTGGGTGAACTCGGTTGAAGCCGATGTATGCACCAATAAGCAACTTCAGGCTAGTATCGGACCTTGCCATGCAACATGTAAGCGAACGACATGAACAGAGACGGGCAATTGGCACGCATACGTACTGCATACACTGTACACTCGCTCACTTTCCTCCCAGTCAATCCGAGCAATAGCTCGACATACAGTTTGGTCTCCAGCGATGGCTTTGATATTAAGTATCTCGATAGTACCGAGATTTCCGGTGACTACTTCAACGACACGGTCCACATCGGATCCGTCTCCATCAAGAACCAGCAGCTTGGTCTTGCTCTCCAATCCCTTAGGCCAACGGGAATCATGGGGTTGGGCTTGAGTGCGAATGTCGCCACCCGGCAGAAGTACAAGACCATCGTGGATAATCTTGTCGACCAAGGTTTCATTGACAGGGCTGCATTCAGCTTGTATCTGGTCTGTGGCCCCCCCATATCACGTTGCTGGTCCCATACTAACAAGTTCCGTAGAATGATCTGGAGTCCGACTCTGGCACTGTTCTCTTTGGCGCAATTGATCAGAAAAAGTTCATCGGTAACCTGACCGTCCTCCCTCTCACGTCCCAGCAAGCTGGCTCCCAGGTCACATCCTTCAATGTCAAACTATTGGGCTTTGACCTGCTGAACCCTGACGGGAAAAACATTTTGGATCTGTCCAACTTCAACGCCAACACCATCCTGGATTCAGGTTCCACCATCTCCCTGCTCCCTGATAAACAAGTCCAACAGATCTGGAAACAGTTTGGCGTGGTCAGCATAAAGGGTGTACTGTCCCCTTTCGTCGATTGTGCTTACCGTGGAAGCCGTGGTGATGGCTACATCTTCGAGTTCCGATTCAATGGAAAGACGATTCAAGTTCCCATGCAGGAGATGGTCATAGACGCCTACGCCGATGTGCAGGAAGTCTTTCAGGACCCTTCGGTGGCTAGACTCTTCAAAGGCTGGGATAGAGTCTGCATATTTGGCATCTCTTCCACCGCCAGCTTCAGTGTGCCCTCGACCTTCACTCTTCTGGGCGCCTCCTTTCTTCGTTCAGCGTATGTCGTGTACGATCTGACCAACGAGCAATTGGCCATCGGTCAGGCAAACCTGAACAGCACCGACTCGGACATCGTCGAAATCAAGTCGGGCATTGCTATTCCATCCGTCACCGGAGTGGCGAGCCAGACGTCGAATGCCTTGCCTACCAGGACGTCAAGTGCCACTCAGACAACCTCGACGTCGCAGTCTACAGGAACCAGCGCTTCAGACAATAACAACGCCTCTTCACGCACCTTGTCATCACCGCCACTGGCGGCCATTATGGCGCTTTTATGCCTTGCCGCTCCATTTGCGCTGTAGGCACGCCGACCTGTTCATGACCTAGACATCCAGTAGATATATATTAATGAGTATGAATAAAATGCATATCGAATTATGATGTCGTTGGTATTGATGTTGCCAGTATTCAACAAGTCTAGTGCTAATGTAATCTTGGAAATTATTTTCTACCAAAGGAAATGCCCAACTCCGTCCGGGCCTTTTACATTTCTGGAAGTCTGATCTGATTCACCCTCTCATAGTTTTGACCCCTGCTCAGTGCCGTCCTGGTTTAGTCGTACAACTCCCTTGAATATCTCGTTAGCAAATATCACCCAGAATAAAAAAAGGGAAAGGGGGACTCGTCTCACCTCCTGCACACAGCTCGCTAGCAGCGTCCCGTCCTTGGCGAAGACCCTCTGGATGACCAGCCCCCTCTCCTCGCCGGACCAAGGGCTGTCGTACTCGCAGAACATCCACTCGTCGGCGCGGACCCTCCTGGGCTCGTGGAAGTAGATGCTGTGGTCGAGGCTGACCATCATGCCCAGCCTCGGGCGGGCCTCCCACTCTTCGAGGGTGCTGCCCAACCCGGTGCGCTCGAGCTCGCGGACGACTTCTGAGCGCTGGGGCTCGGGTAGGGCGTCGACCTCGCGCGGGGTGAGGCGGTGGCCCCAGGCGTCATTGGCGCGGATGATGGTGCCCAGCATGAAGCTGTCGGACATGTAGGCTAGTGCGTCGAGGTGGGCGCGGCGCCCGCCCTCGGGGGACAGTTTGCCGCGGGCGCGGATCCAGGTCCTGCAGCGGCGGTGGGCGGGCTCGCTCTTCTCACCCGGGACGAGGGGCGTGGTGGTCATGGCGGTGGACTGGAGAGGGCGGCGGGAGTCTGCGCCGGGCTGGGGGGGATCGTGGTGGTCGTCTGAGGGGACGGTGTCGAGGACGCCCGGGGGCAAGGGCGCCGCGTGGCTGATTGTGCGGCGCGAGGAAGTAGATTCGCTGTCGTCTGGGACGCGGGCGAAGCTGATTGTGGTGGTGAAGATGCAGCGCCCGCGCTGGCGGGCCTGGACGGTGCGCGTGGCGAAGGAGCGGCCGTCGCGGACGCGCTCGACGTGGTAGAGGATGGGGATGTCTCGGGACCCCGCGAGGAGGAAGTAGCAGTGGCACGAGTGCGGGAGGAAGTCGTCCGGGACCGTCTTCTGGGCGGACGCGAGGCACTGGGAGATGACGACGCCGCCGAAGATGCCGCGGGCGCCGGGCGGCTGCCAGGGGAGGCGGGTGTTGGTGAAGATGTCGGGCCCCAGGACGGCGAGCTCCGTCACCTCGAGGACGTGTTCGATCGGGGACTTGTTGGGGTCTGGCTCGGGGGGGCGGAGGAGGGTTGGGCGGTCTTCTCTCGACATGGCGATGTGGTGGGGAGTGGTGGTTTCGTGTGGAAGTTTGGTCGAGTGCGAATGATTGTTCTATCCAATTTCAGGCGACAAGTCGATGACACCCTCCGTCTTGGAATATAACAGAGAGAAAATGGAAGTCTAGGTGCCACGATATGCAATTATATCAATGCGCGCGATGGGCGGAGGATACGACAGATTTAATTAGCCATTCGTGCTCCGTAGTTGAAATCGAAGCTGAAATACCGAGGCTCGGCATTCCCTCGTTACTCCACTCGCCGAACACCGTTGTCCCTTATCATCAATGATGATCAGACCTACGCATTCCACCAGGGCCAATTGGATGCCTACGTCGCTAATTATAGAGCGTGATTGGATAGGTATCCATGAAGGCGAGGACCCTGAGCAAGAATCCCGACAGGATTTACATCTGAAACTGTCCGTGCTTATCGGATTTCATAGAGCTTGACATACCCTTGCAAGACCTGTCTATGAGCTTGACAGGGCCGCTCGTGAGGGAGAGCGTGCTGGCCATAGCTAGGCAAATAGAATGATATCAATGTGTATTTTTTTCGTCTCTTGAGATGGAAACGACCAAAAAGAAGTAAGATATCCACCTTTGGGTCATTTATACTAAATATCCGCATCTTGGTATATAGGCTCCAACCCCTCCCATACGTTGGGGTCTCCGTCAGGTCCTCCCTTGGCTCTTAGATCCCAGTACTTTCCATTAAAGTTCCAGAACTTCTCGCCCGTCACCGGATCGCGGTCCTTGGAGAACCAAGCGGGCACAAACTCCTGGCCGCTAGCCTCACGGGCTTTCCTCCGAGCACGCTGGGCCTCCTCCAGCCGGTTCTTCTCCGTAGCAGCAAAGTCATATTCTCCCTCCTCCATGGCACGCTGGTCTGGCCGCAGGCGAGAGTCTGTGGGCGCAAGCCAGGGCCTGAGCTGCTCATCAATGTGGTTGAATGTTAACACGAATGGCGTGAGGTTGAACGGAATACCCGTAGGTCGCTCGTTCGCCTCCCAGATGAGATATGCTCTACTAGGGTCGCTGAAGCTCCCAGTATGTACGGGACCGCTGTCCTTCTCCTTGGAGGGGGCATCGATGGTGGCTTCATAGCCGGGGGTGAGCCGCGCGTAAAATCTCGAGTTCCAGCGACCGCCCATGCTTATCCGTACATTGCCACTGGCATCAAGGACCTTGCCGGTGACTTGGTAAGCGCTCGAGGCCTTCCACCCACGAGGCTTGAAGTCAATCAAGGCGACCTCTCCCGTGTTCCAGTTCTTAATCTCCATCAGACCATACTGGTCTACACTTGGGTTGCCAGTGATGATACCAACGACGCAAGACGTCACCTTCTTCCATGTGTACAGCTCCTCGGGGCTTCCATCAGTGGGCCTCAGCCTGAGGAACCACGTTCCCAGTGGGTTGAACTCGAATGATTTTCCGTAGAATTTCGACTGCACGCTGGACTCACCCCAGTACGTCCATCTGGGTCCGTCGGCGTGGCATGCTCCGATAGGAGGGTGGTGGCTCACCTGCTCGCAGATGAACCGGTAATTCTTATCAGGTCGCACATACTCAAAGGTTTCTCCAAGAAGAGGGTTGAAGGGCTTTGCAACACGTCCAATAGTCGAGGCATATTCACTGGCGGCAAATGCTGCAACATAGACCAGACGTTCAATCGAGTCTGACTTCTCTGCGGCGCGATTGATAAGGTCGATATACTCAATATCCTCGCAGCATCGATGCAGCAGTGATGTGGGTTCGTTGAATGATACTGGCAGTGTCATCCTGGTCATATCCTTGCCAATCATCGACTTGAGAATGCCCTGTGAACTTGTTAGCGTCAGATTGCCTCGCAGATTTCAGCAAGCTCCTTACCCAGAGAGACACCTTAGGTCGGTTGTCGGAATCCATTTTGAGCCTATGTCGAATGCCATTTTCGTATCCATTGAAGGAGCTGCTGATGTCAAAGCCATCAGATACCACTACCTCCTTCTGGGCTTCTTCAACCCCCACCTCAGCCAGGGTCACGTCTGCGACCTCGACCTCGCCAGCATCAACGGCATCGAAAAATTCCTCCTCGTCTTCGGATTCACTCTCTGAAAGGGCAGCGATCTGTTGAAGAGCAGTGGGCTTCCTGCGCAGGCTCTTGCCCTCGTCGATCTCATCCTCTTCCTCGTAGGCTGGTATCTTCGGAGTCGGCGCCGTCACTTGCAGTGTGGGAGCGCCCTGCTCCATAACCTCTCGGAGTGCCTTCTTCGTCAACTTGCGCTTATGTTCCGCCTCTCCCATGCGGGCTTCCAGTTCCTCGTGTTCTTTGGCAACCTGCGCCATGCTCTCTTCCCACATACGGCGCATTTCAGACTCGCGATCGAGGCGGTACTGCCAGAATGCATCGCGATCCTTGGAAATACGTAGTAGGTCACCCACAAGCCCGGTCAAGCTCCGAATAGCGCCGTCATAGGTTGCAAAGGCCTGCGCAACCTTGGTGTCGGAAAGGGGTGTTCCTGGGTTGCGACCCGTTTCCAGCATAAGAGCAGCATGAACCTGGGACAGAGTTTCGAGCTGTAGCTTGGCTGACTGGGCGGTGATGTTCAGAGCATCTCTAGTGGCGGTCGGCTCCTCATGCCCACTGATATCGTCACCGTAGTCATCCTCGTCGTCAATGTCTCCCAGGTGATGGGTATTACTGTGGACGTTGCTACGAACACGCGAGAAGTTGGCTTCGGTAACAGCATCGGCAAATTCGTCATCATCCTGGCCGTCCAAGTCGTGGTGGTCATTCCTTTGTCCCGATGCCTTGACACTTGGCAGCGAACGGCTTGGCACGTGAGAGGTGCTCTGTCGAATGTCTGATATGCTCGTTGTTTCGCTGGAAGGCTCGACCCCAAGAGACTGGTGGCTCTGCTCAGCCTTGGCCTGCTTGAGAATTTCGGCGTTTCGAGCCTGCTGTCGCTCCTCCTCTCTGGCCTGATCCTTCGTCCACTGGATGGAATTATTTAGAGACCAGTACCAGCGCTTGGCCTCGACCTCATGGTTGGCTTTAAGAGTGTACTTGACCGAGGACTTTCCGTGAATCTCAAACTTGGTCTTTTCATCTGCGCTCATATGAAGCTTAGCGATTTTCATATTGATGGCTCCGCGGCAGGCTGAGCCCGCATCATCTTGATGTTTATAGTAACTGAGAACGCCGTCCTCAAGCACAAACCATCGCAGCTGGTAACCCTTGCGGTAGTTTGTCCATTTCTTGAGGTAGCCCTTCATCTCACGCGCCTCACGGCCGGCCAAGGGGTCGCCAGCTGCCACAGCAGCGGCGGTTTGAGATGCGGCATGGCCCAGGACAGCCTTTTCTTGAATCACACGTTGCGCAGCGACAGCAGCAGGCGACCTCTTGATAATAGCCTTGACATTGTCGTCGTTGGTGATGGACTGGGGGAGCTTTCCTTTGCGGTCGCGACGGAAGGGGTCAGCTCCATGGAGCAGAAGTGTTTGGATCAGTTTCGTGTCCTTCTTGCGAGCGGCTTCATGCAAGAGAGTGCCTCCAGTGCTGACCGTGACCGGCTCGGAAGCAAATTCGGGGCTATTGATGTCGATGACGGTCTTGAAGCGTGGCTCCTCGAGTAGCTGCGCAAGACCATCATTGTCGCCGTTCGCAATGAGTGCCTGGACCTGCCTAATCTTTTCCTCGGTGTATATGGATCGTGAGAGCTGGAGCTGTTGGAAGATTTCGGGTGTTCGAGCGAGGTCGATGGGGAGCTTGCCCTGCAAGTTTGCGACGGCATCATTGATATTCTTGTGCTCTAGGAGCAGCTTGACAACGGGCGTGCGACCCTGAGCGGCCGCAATATGGAGAGGGGTGTTGCCCTCCTTATCGCGTGCGTTGAGGTCGAGGGTGCCCTGGCCGTCTGACAAGACATACTCGACGACGGGGAATTCGGCGCATTGGATGGCCAGATGCAAGATGGTGGTGTCATCCAGCCCGGAAGCAGAGCCGCCTAGTAGCGACGAAGTGCTTGGGCGTGGGCCGTCTTCACTGACGGATTCTCGAATGACTTTGGAAATGGACGCTGTGTCGCCGCTTCGGAGGGCCTCGACGACTCGGAATTTCTTGACAGACTGCTCAAGGCTCGCGCCCTTGTCGTGGCTCGTAGTAGGCTTGAGAGGGATCGGGGAGGGGGCGGGGGCAGGGACATTGTTGTGGTTATTGTTGTTGGCCGAGGGCGTCCTGGTCAGGCTGGCCGAGGTTACGGAGAGCCTGGAGCTGTGATGGCTCCGGGTGCTCTGTTGGTGTGTCATGGAGCCGTGTGGTAGCCTGCCTGCGGTAGCTGAAGAACCGTTGTTGCTTGTTCGGCCGTCTTCAGAGCCAGACTCGTCTTCGCGCGTATCCTTGCGCCTCAGGAGGGAGAGCGCATGCGCAGATCGTGAGCGTTTGTGGACGCTGTGTGAGGGGAGCAAGAACAATTAGCTACCCAGATAGACTCTTGGCCTTCACGTTCACGATGGGATGGGGCTGGAGGGGGCCGGCGAATGAGGTTGAGCTAGGCAAAGACAGCCAAGAAAGGGGCTGGAGGGGTGGAGTGACGACACGACAGCTGATGGGAAGAATGGGAGCATGGAGCTCCAATTCTGCAATAGCTTGATAGACTTGTGGCTTGTGCCGTTTGTTCGTGTTTGGGTTTAGGTTTGGACCCTGGGGACGGATCGTGCTGAACTTACCTCTCGCCGGTGTCAGACATTCTGGGCGCCGAGCAATTAGGGTTGGGTGGTCAATGGATAAAGTTGAGTGATGTGATGCCGTCACCGCCTCGAGACAGGTGGCTGGCCAGACAATGCAGAGTGGACCGGGGGAGGGGAGGGGAGAGGAGGCTCGAGGGGCAGCGGCCCTGGCGACAGAAACGAGTCTTGGAGGGCACCTGGCAGGCTCTGGGGACAGCCCTGGACAACTCGACGAGCTATGGTGGTTTTATTTGCTGCCGACGTTGGGACTAGAGATAACTAACCCAGAGTTGAGGCCAGGCTCGGTGGAGAAGGGCAGTAATAGCAGCAAACAGCCAGATGGAAGGAGGCCTGATGGAGGATCCATTGATGTGATGCGGTTGGCTTAGGTCATGGAGGCGGGGCAACAGCGGATGCTTCAATTACAATGGGCTGCTGTGTACTGGTACTTCCAGGGCTATTACGGGTACAGGGTATGACTTACAGCGTCTGCCGCCCGCTTAGGCCCCTGTCGCTTCCATTGCCGTCTTGCAGCTGATGTGTGCTCATCTTCTAATACGCACACAATCATCAGAGGTCGGGTACTTCTGGCTGCAATACGCTCTAAGCAGGGGAAAGTACCGGCTCCTTTTGCCCAGAACAGGGTGAATTAGTAGTCACGGAATCCATCATGCTCATTATCGCACAGTGGATGAGGTGCACGTGTAGCGCAGGTGGCTCTCTACCATGTCCCAGCCAATGGCCAATGGCGTGTCGTAGCGGACCCAAGTGGCTTGAGGTTCCTCGAGCCAAGCCAATGCTGCGTAAACATGGCGGTCCAGAAGCATGGCGACCAGAGAAAAAGAAAGTATCAAGCCATTCGAACGAGTACCAACCCGTGGAGATGACATCTACCCACCTAACGGCAGTTGCGGGAGGGATCATGGCTGTGCCTTTCACCGCCACCACATCGTCACCATCATCACCATCACAGCGCGGCCGTCGCCACTGCTCAGGGCCGCGTCGTCAATCATGTAAGCCGGACCTTGGTTGTCTGCACCCGCAGAATGCTAATCGAAGGCGGAGGTAAATTCTCGCAATCCCGAAACCTTGAACAGACGACTTGTGGGCAGCGGGGCAGCATCATATTTCCCGGTGAGTGACTTTGCTGCAAATCACCCAAGGACGGCCGTCCAATTACAATACGATCAACTCAATATTCCAATTCGTTCTTTGGACAGAGATAAGGGCCACCTCACCTCATCGTGCTTATGAATACAAAGGCCTGTACCACCTGGAAACGTCGCATCTGCCCACCTCCAGGCCGCTCATCCATGCCCATGACCATCCCATCCGAATACCAATCGTCATCATCGGCCCCGGAGGTTCGTTTAGGTTCGTTCTGTAAAAACCGACGTCTTCCCTACTAGCGAATAGCGCCGGATCGGCAGGTCGATCCAGCTTCCGAAACAGAAGGATCCCCATTCAGTTCTTCTCTCCCCCCAAGCCAGACTGCATGGGTACCCAGTAAAATTGTCATGGATGCTGTAAGTAAAACCGTTTTTGGCTGACTGGCGTCATCGCCATCGCCCCAGCTTCGTAAACCACCATCAGGACTGGTGGCTGCCAACCACTGGCTGCCTCCCGTCTGACCTCAGCTAGGCATGCCAGGCTGGAGGCGTATTTGATCCCTTTGCCCTTGTATCGAGTCACTTTATCCAAGAAGTACGGTCAAATTGACCTGACGAAGTTTCGTTGGCCACCATAATGACCTTGGTGGTTAGCTTGAGGCTCTTCCGTTCTCCCCGCCGATCTCTAGAGGCGGCTATGTATTGAGTCAGTTTCATAGTCATTATTAATCGATGTTCAAAAGTTCCATCAAAGGCTAAAAGCTTGTTTAAGGTGTTTAGGTATGCCATATTTCCTCCCATCCCGCTGGTAGATCCCCAAACCCCCGCTGTAACTTGTATTGGGTGGGTAGAACGACAACATTTTGATGGTTCTCGCTCAAGCAGTTTGCTTGCGGCGAGCCTTTTTCTTCTCCCGAATAGCCATGAGGTGTTTAGTAGCGTCCACCTCTCGCGCAAATCGTTTCCGCGCCGCACTCCTCTCATTTGATTTCTGCTCCCTAACCTTATACTCTATAGCTTTCCAGCGGTTGTCGCTGCTCCAATTCTGGCCCCATCGAAGCCAGAACCGATATATCCCGAATCTGATGAGTATCCACGTAGTTCCTTCACGGTATATAGACCAAAGGAATGTCCGTACGAAGGCGCTGAATGCGAGAATGCAGACGAGCAGGATAATACCAGCCGTGACGCCAACTAGCACCACCATGTCAGTAGATACTAAAGATCCTCGGGAATGGCTTACTCACACATAACTTGTAGTTGGAAAGCTATTGTGACCGGTTTATTGTTCCTAGTAGGGTCTGGATCTAATTCCGGATTGTTCATGCCAAACACTCCAGCAATAAATGCGGCCGGAAGCTAAACCTGTCAGATCTGGGACGCTCATCATAGGGAACTGGGATAATCTCTTACAAATAGGATCGTCATCGTGGTGAATACCATAATCGCACGTCCTTGCTTGACAGCCTCTTCCCCATGTCTAATTGATTGCCAAGCTTGGATTATGCTAGCTTGTTGCTGCTTCAGGGACAAAAGATAGTCGAGCTTTCTCCCTATTAGCATGCTATTCCGTTAGAATCTTCGCTTGTGGGAGAACTCACCCCTTCCGAGGTACTGAGAGCACTCCCCTTCAATCCTTCCAACTCCCTGAGGCGGCTGTCCGTGTCTGCCAACAGCCTGGTTGCTGATTTTTCAAACCACTGGGATGGACTTGGCTTGTCGGGGCCTGTAGTTTGGGCGCCATCCTTTCCATCGCCGATTATAGTGCCAACATTAGCTATAAACTTTTCGATCACTCGCTTCTGTTCATTCACGAGGTGTAGCATTATCCCAAGCTCATCTAGAATGTCCCTGATCTCCTTCTGAAGCATCCCCTCAGGCGTTATGTTGAGAAGAGGGATGTGAAGCTCCGAGAGATTCGCATGCTGGTGTGAGTCAGGGGCAAGCGACACGCGGCGAAGCTTCTCTGCTGACTCCCACATGTGATTGAAGGCAAGAGTTTGCTTGTGTGTCTATCACGTAAACGTCAGTCTGACCCATCGAGCGGAGTTATACCAAGGGGGCACATACAACACGGCCAATTGCCCTTGAAAATATGTCGAGAACAGCCGGCCGTCTGTCTTTGGTCCTTGTTTCATCGAAAATCGTTCTCGTGCACTCATTGAGAATGATGAGTGCCAGGTCATAAACAGTCTTGATCTGATTGTTTCTGGCCCCTTTGACACGCTCACGGATGGACTTGTGTACCCCTGATGCGTCTTGCTTGTTCACGCCATATCTCTTTGGAAAGAAGGTGAGAATGGTGTTATCATCCAAGATCCACATCCAGAGCTGGTCCACCATGATCAGCCTTGATAGTTTTCGAATGTTTTCGAGGCAGCGAGGGCACCTCAGGCCCCGCGCCGATGCCGAGGTGGCACTCAGATCCACCTCGTCCCCGTCCTCGTTGAGGATCTTAATGGGCCTACAGCTGCATCCGAATATTTCAGACTTGCAGAACTTGCAGCGGTGTCCGTCAGGCTTTTTCTGGCTACTGCTGTCATCTGGTTGCGATTCATCCTCGGAGGTATCCTGGTCCTCTGGCGGACATTCTATATCCCCCTTCCAATTCTCTGTGTGGCGTTTGGCGGATGCACACTTGTGGCATCTCCGGTTAAGAATCCTATACCTTCTAGCGTCTAATTTCGGGACCTCGAAAGACGTCAGGTTTGTTTTCGGGAAGTCGCCCTTTTCATGGCAGTTCCAGTGGACCTCGTTCCCCTCAGTTTTCCATTGATGAAGTGCGTCTTCCCTAGGCGTAGTTTCTCGGTACACAACTTGGTCACGGTCCCTGTTCCTGGTACTTTTCACCGAATGGTAGTACGCTTGGTCGAGGGTCCGTCGAGGGTGCATTGGGGATTCGTGATATAGATACTTCTCCAGCATCATCTTGTCCCTGTAATTATCCATCTCTTCAACTAATCTGGAGGCATCATAGAGGAGCTGTGCCAGAGGTTTTTTAGGAAACAAGAGCCGTCCGAACTTGTCCCTTGTCAGCTTGAGATTCTTAGATTTTCTGAGAGGGTACTTCTTTGAATATGCCATCACCGCCCCGGGAAGCGTGTCAATATTTCGAATTGTGTCCCATCTTTTTGGCGTCTGCTTTGAGGGGCTTGATTGGTCGACCATTCTGTCCTTTCGTCGACGTTCTGCCGCTTCCCACTCGCCTTGTTCGATCTCCAGATTGTGTTTCCCAACAAGATTATCAATCACTTTAGAGAAAGTCTGGGCCTTTCGGTCGGTATCCCAATGAAGGATGGGCATCTTTTTACAGTAAGTAAATATCAAAGGAAGAAGAGTGGCCGCCGACATACAAAAAGAACTACATTTCTTGGAGACTGCTCGGCCTCCTTTGGGTCTGTAGGTGAAGGGTTAGTCTAGACAGCTTATTTTTGCACAACCCTACCCGTAAATTTTCCACTTACTAGAGGAGACCAGCTCACAAAGAGGGCGAAGGTGTCTCGCGTGAATGGAGGATTCATGGCTGCCGTGCATTCGGCCCTTCCAGTACTCGTTCCGAAGCACCGTGTCTGAGTGTGTCCGTTGCTTGTGGTTTGTATTTTCCTCGGAGCCAGTCTCGGGATCTCTAAAATAGAGCGACATAACGTCCTAAATAAATAGAATGAGCGTTGTGTCTGGATAATACAGATAAAAGGATTTCGTACCTCGACCCACTAGTTCCAAAATATCGATCAGCACAAGAACTCATATTGAATGCTCAAAATTCGATAGGTAATTGTTTCTCATACTACTGACCTTCATGTTGTTTGCGGGGAAATGTAGATATCTCAAGTGATCCTTGCCGGCGCTGCGTTTGAGGAAGTTGGAAGCGTGACGGTCGTTGGATGGCTTTCCTACAAGGTCGTCCATAGCTGCTTTTCGGCCTGGGAAACTTCCTTTCCAAATGCGCTTCCCTTCTGTTTTCGAGGGACTAGTTGGAGTACCGTTTTCGAGGTTTGAGTCATCTCGAACATAAGAGCCTGGGCTTGGATCTGTGGGCTTTTGCAACTTGAATTCCATAAGATAGCCATTGATATCTCTGTCCGGGTTATATGGTATAGGTGGCCCTTTCTGTTGTGAGCCGTCTTGGTCTCTTTGATCAATTGGCGTCCCATTTGGCGTCCCATTGCCGTAATCGATTCCGGGAGAATGCCCATTCTCAACCACATGGCCGTTCATATGGGTATGTTCGCTTATTGGGTCGAAGGTGTTCTCGGCCTCCTCCGGGCAGTGACAATACCGTCGTCTGCCAATTTTTCTCAACTTCTTTTTGTCGAGTACTTTTATCCTCTCCTCGTCGGTCTTTGCCTTTCTAAACTCCTCATTGGTCTGTTCTTTTACGCTGTCTCGCCATGCTTTCATACTTTTGTGGACATTTCGCACAAGGCAAGGCTGGTCGGTGCCTTTGGAACCTGGCGAGGTTCCGTCCGTTGCTGGTGTTCCATCACACCCAACTGCAGTTGCGACAAAACCCTTCAGTCTTCGAACTCTCCGCAATTCAGTCTCTATTTGTTTTTGTTCGTTTTTTGGTAGAGCTTCGAAATAGGCCTTTCTCTCACAAATCTCGAGGCACCCAAAGAAATGTGCGACATGATTGTCTACTTTGGTGATGTCTATCGTCGTTGCCGAGATTTCCTGTTCCTCAGTTTTATCTTGTCTATCGTGCAGCTCCGCACTAATACAGTGACGAGGTTCAGCCATTGGAATGGGGACAACAGGTCAGTCGTTGGTTTGAAGTTACGGTCAGAACCAACCAGGACTGCAGGATGCGTACTTCCATCTTGAATAAGTACTCACAACCACAACAAGGCTGCAATTGCGCTGTGCATTACCAATCAACAGGGTGTCAACCAAAACTACGTGGGCTTCGTCTGAACGCCTCTCGATGCAACTTGCGGCTGACAGATCGCCATGCAGTCAGCAAGCCCCCATGCAGCAACAGCAATAATTCTTCCCAAGCTGAAATTTTGCCCCTCAAACCACCCCACCATTGCAAGAAGGCTGGGAAATCCCTTAGCTGGTGATTGACGGACAATGGCTTGAAATGGTGGTCAGAATCCCCCCAAAAAGGGGCACTATGGCCACATGGAGCTCAGAATCTGAGTTTTTTTTGAACAGGGAGGTCACTCCAGGAGCATCAGCTCAGCCTTGTCGAGACCACCTCCGTCGTTCGCTCCGATTCCCCTGCATATGCATTTGATCGCAGCTGAAAGCGAACCAGGGGGGAAATGTCGCAAGGCAGCTACAATTACTCCATCCACAGCCCGTGCAAAAGTACCTCGCATTTTACGAAGGAACTAGCAGCTTGGTGAAGCCTTTGTTTCCGCCTCGGTGAGTGAGCCGGAAATCGGAAGAACGAAGGGGTGTGTATGTGAGAAAAGTATTCCATTACAGTACTTGAAATTTTATGGGTGCCCAAAGAATTCGACAAGTACTATTTACATCGCAATACTATCTTTTGCTCCAAGTCACTCTATGGTAGTATATCTTCATGGTCAATCAAGTCTTTGGGGTTGCAAAGCAAGGTTTTGTTTCTTATATATTTTTGATTCTTATATTATCTATTGAGAGAACTTCATTACTTTTCTTCTATTATTTATAATAACAGCTTCAAAGGCAAGCACTACTGCTTGTGATAAAGAGAGTTGTCTAGAAGAATCATAGTTACTTATTGGCACTGAGCAGCGGCCTTTCTTCGTCAGGATTGATTGGTTGGACAGTTACTCTGTTTTTACATTAGAACGGCTACTTCCAAATGTGTGATGATCCGATATCCAATTTCGGCATTTGATTTGTATCAAGCTTCTTCTATCGCGATCAGTCAGTAGGGGCACTTCTTCCCTCGCAAGTGGCTGAAAGAAAACATGGCCCACCAGAGCTCTTTGTATGCAAGCTGGAGACCTTATTCTGTTATTAATAATATTCCAAATAATAATAGTAAAATAATATATTATTATATATTATTTAGCTCGATATTGTATTGATAACTGGGTTGATTGTTTGGATATTGTGTTGAAATCTGAACCGTTGACCCACACATACCTCTTGTTTTCTAGCACCATAGGCTTAAAGAGGGTATAACGGCAGACCGCAGAAGTCAACTTCAATGAGGAAACAGAGGGGGGGATTCACGAAGTGCCATCACGATCCAAAACTCGTCAACAACGCGATCCATATCGTCAGTATCGAAATCCTCCAACCTCGGAAAATACCTTATGATTTGACAAGCCAAGTCACGAGCAGATATAGACGTATAGCTAGGGAATCATACATTAGTAAAAAACCGGGTAATTGAAGATTTCAGTCCCACATACTCCGTGTTGTCTGTCGAAATCTGCGCCAGGTAAAGTGTTCCCAAATGCGGGTGTAGGGGCTCTTCCCCGGCCTGGGCCAGCAAAGACCTCAGATCAAAACGCGGTCCCTTTCGCATGGAAAAGTGGTCAAGTCTAGGGCATACCGAGAGAGACAGCAGCGCTGCAGCGGTGAGATCGCAGTTGAATTCCATCTCCAGACACTGCAGACCAGGGAGTGTGGATATCAACTCGTGGAACTCTGCGTCACTGAACGGGCTTATCGTATCACGGCGGTCAAAGTCGACCCCAAACCGGATAGATAGCTTTGTTAGCTTGCTAAGGGCTTTGAGCGACAGTAGTTGTGGTGCGGGAAATGAGGCATTGCAATGAAATGTGCATTCGAGCTGGGTCAAGTTTTCGATTGTCGAAAGCGGCGTCAGCATATCGTATTCACTGTCTCCAAATTCCAAATGTATTTTGGTGAGATGGGGGAGCATCGTCGCAATATAAGATACAGTTATCGACGAGAGCGCATATGGCAAGGAGAACGAATCGAGAGAGAGAAAAGGGTTCGGGTTCTGGGCGACAGTCCTCGATAACAACTCGGGCGTTACGTCCTTGCACCAGCTCAATGCGGATAGATTTTCTAGTCCCGAAACATAAAGGAAGAGGTCATCTGAGATCCCCCCGCAGCAAAGACTCAGGTCGCGGAGTGTTTTTGTTTGAGAGATGAATCTGAAAAGCGTTTCCCCGGTGAGTTTTGGCTTCCTGAAATCCGTTTCCGTGCTATCTATAAGGAGCACCTGAAGACGGTGGCATGTGGATTGAAGCTGAAGGAGTATCTCGTCAACAAAGTCCTCGCCGTAAAAAATAAAACTTTCCAGGCTTGGTTGGATGTATGGTTTAATTAAATGTTCGCTGCCCTGCGGGAGCCAGTATGAACTAAAGTCAATTGACTTGATCTTGTTGAAGTGAAGGTCGGGTAAGTCTGTTGGCAAGTCACGTTTGTTGCCATCAAATGTGATACCCTCGACCTTGGAAGCGTATAACTGTCGACGACTATTATCGGCGATATTGGCGATGCTGGTGATGGCATCGCCTTTGACCTGGCTCCACAGAATATCAGTCGCGCAAGCAAACCATAGACTGTTTGCTCGAGCTGCCGATGCTAGACTGGGAAAGTCCTCACGGAGAATAGCGAAGACTTCGGATAATATCTCGGGCAGCGCCATGGCTCGTGCCATAGCTGTGTCTGTTGACATGTTTGTGGTGGTGATGAGCGGTGTGGATGAGAAGAGCTTGTCATCAGCTTGCCAGGGAAGAAGTGCCCACACTGACTGATCGCGATAGGAGAAATTTCATAAGGTAGGTACCAACTAAATGCCGAAATTAGATATCGGATCATCACGCATTTGGAAGTAGCCGTTCAAGTGGGTGAAATAAAACATGGTACACTAAAGCTCTTTTCGTATGAGACAGGGATCTCATTTTTTATTTAAACACAATAAAAATAGAATAATAAGAGAATAATCAACTGTTCTATAATATTTGGCTTGGTATTGTATTCCGCCCTAGGTTAAATACCGTAGTATTGTATTGAAATCCAGTGCTGAACTATCTCGATGTGCCATATTTTATTTCATGCACTTACCGTTCTGATGTGAAAACAGAGGTTTTGGCCAACCAATCAATCCATACGAAGAAAGGCCGCTGCTCAGTGCCAATAAGTAACTATAAACCTTGTCTCTTGATATAGCAAAAAGTCATTACGCCACCTGGCTTAACTAAAGACTCTGACAGTCACTTTGAAACCCCGGAACATAATTGATAAACAGATAGATTGCATTATTCTTGGCTAAGGCATATAAAGTACCACCCACATGTGTGAAAATAGAAACGATCCAGAACAAACGTGAAACCCAAAAATTAAGAATATTCAAAACACCAAATTCATACCATCGCTTTTACAGGGCGAGCAACTGAAGACACATGACCAGCACGATTCCTCCGAGCCCGACAGCCACATTGGAAGCACCCGCCTTGGCTGGTGCAGCGGTGGTGCTGACCTTCTGGCTGGCAGTGGTGGTGGTGGCGGTTGTAGAGCTTGAAGTAAGCTGCAGAACGACGGTTGTCTTGAAGCCTGAGACAGAGGGAAGGACTGCAGGAGCGGACTGACTGCTTGATGCCGCACCCTGGCTCTGAGTCTGAGTTTGGGTCTGTGCTTGAGTCTGGGTTCGGCTCTGGCCTGCATTGCCGCCATTATTGGCTGCGTTGCTTGTGGCAGGGCCATTGACGACAGTGGACTGAGCCGGTTGCGGGACGTTGCTGCCACCAGTTCTTGTCTGAGCTGGAGCACTGCCTCCGGATTGCTTTGATGAGGAAACACTGGGTTGGCCAGTTGGCTGCGTCTGCGGTACGCCTCCCGTCTGGGTGATGGGGCAGACTGTAGTGTACAGCGCAATAGTCTCAGTAGTGACATAACCACCCTTGGGGCAGTCAACGTATACTGGGCAGCTGGTGATTGTTCTGACTGTAGTAGCGAATACAGTGCTCGTTGTCCAGCCGTTCGAGCCTTGGGGTGGCTGAGTAGTAGCAGGATCACTGGCCTGGGTGGTTGCCGAGCCTCCGGCCGTCTTAGTCGCGCCGGCTGCCGTTGAACCTGCATTGCCATTCTGACCACCGTTGTTGTTAGATCCGCCACCGGTACTGGTTGAAGCTAGGCCGGTACTCGTACTAGAAGGAGCACCGCTTCCAGCTAAAGCTGTAGAACTAGACCCGAGCAATGTAGAAGAAGCACCGCCTTGAGTGTTAGTAGGCGCAACACCGCCCTGAGTATTAGTTAACGCAGTGCCGCTGGCGGATGAAGATCCTGCAGATGTGAGAACCCCCGTTGATTGGCTGACCGGTGCCGTGCTTTGTGTTGTCATGGTAGAGTTGGACCAGGACAGCGTTGATGAAGCAGAGCCAAAACCGCTGGCCCCTGCGCTACCTTGAGTTGACGCTCCAGGTGTGCTTGAGCCAACTGTGGTGGAAAGAGCCGGGTCAAATGTAGCCGAAAGTGTTCCGATGGCCGATGAAGAGGTGCTGCCGCTTGAGGCGCCTGCAGTAGCTGAAGGGGTAACACCATTTGAAGGAATAGCACTAGCCGAGGGTGTGTTGCCAGCTGAAGGAGTACCAGTCGATTGAGAGTTCCCAGCTGAGGGGGTACCGGTTTCTCTCACAGAAGGAGTTTCGTCAGATGTAGGAGTTTCGATGAAAAAATGGGTTTCATCAGCTGAAGGGGTAATGGTAGCTGATGGAGTTTCGCCGGCTGAAGTTGCAACACTGACTGAAGGAGTGTTGCTGGCCGAAGGTGTCGCAACAGCCGAAGGGGTAGCGTTGGCTGAAGGAGTTTCGCCGGAAGTGGGGGTCTCAATGACAGAGGGGGTTTCAACGACTGAAGGGGTAGCGATGGTTGTTGAAGGAGTCCCATCGGCTGGAGTAGCAGCACTGACTGAAGGAGTATTGCTAGCTGAAGGGGTCGCATCAGCTGAAGGTGTGGCATTGTCTGAAGGCGTAGCATTAGTCGACGGTGTGACACCAGCAGAAGAAGCGCCATCGGTAGGAGTTCCACTAGCAAGGGGAGTTTCGGTTGCTGATGGAGTCTCGGTTACCGAAGGAGTATGGACAATTGGAGGAGTTCCGCTAGATGAGGGAGTTTCGCTAGCAGAGGGAGTCTCGGTTGCTGATGGAGTCTCAGTTGCTGAAGGAGTGCTAACAGCTGAAGGAGTTCCACTGGCTGAAGGGGTTTCGGTGGATAGGGGGGTTTCGCTAGCGGAAGGAGTGTTGCTAAAGGAAGGAGTTTCGCTGGCTGATGGAGTCGAGGTTACCGAAGGAGTATTAACAACTGGAGGAGTTCCACTAGATGAGGGGGTTTCGCTAGCAGAGGGAGTCTCGGTTGCTGAAGGAGTGTTAACAGCCGAAGGTGTGCTAGCAGCTGAAGGAGTTCCGCTAGCAATGGGAGTTTCGTTAGCAGAAGGGGTTTGAGCAGCCGATGTACCAACGATAGTTGATGGGGTATTGCTAGCAGAAGGCGTTTCACTGGTCGAAGAAACGTCGCTGTTTGAAGGAGTCACACTCGCAGAAGGCGTAATGCTGTCCGAGGGGGTTACGCTCGCAGAAGGCGTGCTGTTGTCTGAAGGGGTTCCGCTCGATAAAGAAGTGCTACCAGCCGAAGGGGTGACGGTGGATGATGGAGTGATGCTAGCTGAGGGAGTTTCATTGACTGAACTGCTGGCGACCGCAGATGGAGTTTCGGTGGCAGAAGGGGTTGCGCTAGATGAGGGAGTTCCGGAAGCCCCAGCATCTGATGCAGCGGCAGCAGTCGACGAAGGAGTGCTACTTGGTTCCGGGGTGCTCGCTGAAGCAGGAATACTCGATGACGGCGTGCTAGATACGGCGGATGACTGACCCGTAGAGGCTCCCGTGGTTCCTGGGGTGGTGCTTCCTGCGGATGAGACCGGAGTGGACGATGGAGTTGAAACAAGCGCGGAAGGGGTTGAAGGGATCGACGAAGCTGATGTTGACGAAACTGGCGTTGAAGAAGCTGGAACAGAGGTTGTTGAGGCGGACGAAACCGGCGTAGGGGTCGACGAGACAGACGAGGATGAAACTGGGGTGGATGAGGCGGCCGGAGTAGTTGACACAGTTGAAGGAACCGGGTCACATCCATACTGCAGAGCCTCCTGAACGTGCTGGTTGAAAGTCTTTCCGCCAACGACGTTTGTCGCACCACGGATCAGATCCCACAGCGAGATACCACCGAAATGCTTCTTATCCTTAACGCGGCACACCAGATCCTTAACTGCCGAGGGGTCGATGTAACCCGCAGAAGCCGCATCGCTACTCGCAGGAAGACCAATGAAGATCTTAGCGCTCTGACTCTTATCGCTAGAGTCAACAATGTTGATCCAATCATCGTAGTTGAACTTGTCGTTGGTGTTGCAGTTGTTATCATTGTTGTAGAACTGGACAAAGAGCGCGTCAAATTTTGCTTTCTGGATCATCTCCTGCATATCAAAATAAGGAGCCGCAGAGGGGCACTGAGGTGCTCCGGTGATCATCAGAGAGGAGTCAAGGCTGCGGAATTTCTCAATCATGCTAACGTAAGGCATGTTGTCTGTGATACGTTAGGAACTGAGTCAATCACAAAGCAGTGAATTTGTCTCCCGAATGCATAACTTAATCTCCGTGTCGCTCATTGACACAGAGAAATACGCAATAACCGGAAACGGGACTCTTTAATCCCCAGGAGAGAGACGACACTTACCCAAGGTAGCTTCGATATCGAAATCAAATCCGTCAACAGAAGTGTGGTCGTCAGTACTGGCGTCGAAAGGTCGAGGTCCATCCCAGGATTTCTTATACGGCCCAAATGCGTTGTACAGGAAATCTGCAAAATCCTCGCCATTCTGCTCGGTCGAAACGGCGTAGTTGCTGTCGCCGGTGTTGTAAACACCACCAATGCCGAGAAGAACCTTGACACCCTTCGACTTGCAGTAGTTGATATCCTGCTTCATGTAGTAACATTCGCTGAGCAGCTCCGAGGTGACATTGTCCTTGTTCTTGTATGTTCCAGCCCAGCAGTGTCCAGCAAAATTCGTACCCGGGTAACCGGATGCGCTGTGTTCTGGTGCCTTGTTCACAAAACTCAAAGTCACATACTCAATTCCTGTGTCGCAATACTGGCTCAGTCGGTCATCGCTATATTGACCCTACATGGTCAAGACGTGTTAGTTCTCACTTGAGGTAGCTTAACAGTGATGATGAGAAGGATGCCACCAACCCAGTAACCGTTCAGAGCGCCGAAGCCGCCCGTAGCAATTCCCCGGGAGAGGAGTGACAGAGACATTATGTTCGAGTGAGCGAGATAATTAATTCAAATAAACAATTAGTGATGGATGGGCGGCCGAGGCCGATTCAAAGAGTGTACAGACGTCAGATGACGAAAGAAAGGACGCAAACAAGACGTTTGCAAAGGCCACAACCGAGCCTTCTCTCAACTTCGCAACGATCGATGGATGGTAGGAAGAAGAGGAAAGGAAGGATAAAAAAAGATTCAGGCAGTCAAGGAGAACTATGGATCGAATCGCAGCTACTGGGCCGGTGGGACGCCCACTCACACCTCGCCCACCCATCCTCAATCCTCAACCCTCACGCCCAAACGCAGGCAGTTCGTAGGCAGCTCCATCTGTGATTGATCTAACGCCCCAGTGGCACCGAGCCATTGGAAGGCTCAATGCACGGCTATCTGATGGCCGGGGTCCTCAGCCTCTTCCCGTTCCAATATTCTACTCAATTCAGCCGTGACGACGACGCTGCTCACGTCACGCCCATGGCGAACATGCAGGTGGAAATGAAGGGGTACAGAGTGAGTGACGAATTTAGCCAGCCAGAGATGCTCTGAGCCTTGCTAAGGCGAGCGGTGAAGTGGACTACTGGTGCTGAGGTCCATCACCAACAACAACTTAGAGAGGTCTAAGAGGCGTTTATTGATCAGTAGCGCGAGTGGCGTGTGTTAGGCTGAAGCCACAGACTCCAATAATAATGCAGGAACAGGGAGAAATATGCAAGTTTTGTAGAAATGCCCCACTGCATAGCCTATCGAGTCTACTGATGCGTTTCTTTGTCGGCCGATCGACGCCTCTGAGAGAGGGATAAGTTGCTCCGGACCAGGAAGAGAAGAGTGGTTGTATCACGCAAAATCACACGCACCCAGACCAGCTCTAGAGCATCCGGGACAGGAAACCACACGTCTCTGTCATTCTGAAGACTAAACTATCTGTAGAGAGAGGGGCACGTAAACATCAATTGCGTCTGCTGGCAGTCTAGGCTTTCAATAGCGTGCAAATACTAGAATATTGGTGTGACCAATGTGGTAATTACAAGTACAAGATTCCGGAAGCCAAGTATTGATCTGCCAGGGGCAAAAAAGACGGACAGGACTAAATCAGGCGGCCTCGACCTGTCAGATCCATTATATCACAGCGCCATGCCCTGATGAGACAAGGCGTTGTCCTCTAGATCACGCTACTTCGGAGCTCTTGATGCCAAGAAGGCGATCAGTCACCGGCCAATTCTTGATCAGCCTCGTCAGCAACATTTCAAACAACTCGGGCATCACAACCAGCTCAATCGATGTGAAACCATCTCAGCCAGCCGTAGCTCTAGCTCGTGAAGGAAATCCAACCACCAGGCGGTAGGAATCACCACCTCAGCCAACTCCACATCAAGAAAGTAGCCCTACCTCTCCCCGTGATACATACTTTCTACGATACCTAGAGATTTTCAACAATAATTCCAAAGCTTATCGTTACGAGCTATGACAGACGCCCACAAAATCTCCTTCTCTGTGCATATCATGCCAAGCATGCAAAACGTAACCCTATTTCGTCCACGTAAGACTCCCAACATTACAATATTATATCTTCTACGAGAATATTTGATTTTTAGAAACATGTCACCAATGAAAAGGCACAAATTTCTCATCATTGCAAAATGAATTTGGTATAGGTACTATTGGTATTATTCTAACTGGTGATTACATGCTGAAAAAAAAAATAACTTCCTTTAAAAACTCCCAGAAACTTTTTTTTCTCTCTTTCACTTGCTTTAATTTCTTAGGCTGTGTCGAGAACGACGACCTCGGCCTCGGCCTCGCCGATGCTCTCAAAGCTCAGCTTGTCGCCAGCGTTGACGCTCTCGACAAAGGCACCGTCACCCTCGGCTAGCTCGGCGCTCTCGCGCCCGTCCAAACGGATCTTGGCCTTGCCGTTCTGCGTCATGGGAACGTGGACGTAGACCTTGCGCTTGGTCTGCTGGGTCGCGTTGGCGCCCACGGTCCACTCGAAGGTGCTCTGGGGCGCGATGAGGCCGGCGCCCATGACGAAGTCGGCGTGGATGGGGATGGTGCCGGGGATGGCGGGCTCGGCGTCGGCCTCCTCCTGCTCGGTGGCGTCCTCGCCGGCCTTGAGGGGGCTGAGGACGTTCACAAACCCCTTGCGCTTCTCCTCGTCGGGGAAGCTGCGGGTGTGGTAGCGGGGCTTGAGGCCGTTCTTCCAGGGGAGGGCCCAGATCTGGAGGAAGTGGACGGTGTCCTTCTTGTGCTCGTTGAACTCCGAGTGGGCGATCCCCGTCCCGCCGGTGGTGAACTGGACGTCGCCGCGGTGCATGCGGTAGAACTTGTCCGACTGGCCGCCCTCGTTGCCCTTGGAAAGCATGGAGTCGCGGTGGGTTAGCTCGCCGGACAGGATGTAGCTGAAGATCTCGAAGTTGCGGTGGGGGTGCGTGGGGAAGCCGTTGACGGGGCTGACACGGTCCTCGTTCAGGACTCGCAGAGAACCGAAGTGGGTGAACTTGGGATTATACCAATCGGCAAAGGAGAAGCTGTGGTAGGTGTTGAGCCAGCCATGGTCGGAGTGGCCACGGGTGGAGGACCTGTGAGGGGTGATCTTTGCGTTTGCAAGTGCCTTGGACATGGTTTTGGCTGCCTTGAGCATATGGTCTTCTGTAGAGGTGGATTGGGTGGTGATGAGTGAGTTAATGTTGAGTGTCTGGTTCTGGTAGTAGTAGAAGTAGACTGTGATGCCGATGAAGATGCTCAAAACGGCAGACCAAGGCGAGAAGCGACTCATTTATACACAATCACGAAGAAGAAATGCGAAGGTTCAGGCACTACATAGACTTGAATAGACTAGATTTCGCAACTGTTTAGCTGAGCTGAGGATGACTTTTCATTACCACTCAATTACACTGGCACTTGTGTCTAGGTAGGGACGAATTTCTAATTCTTAATCATCGACCAATTCTGGGGCAGAATTCCTCAGCGTAGCATAAGCAGAGAGCCCCGCACTGTTACCCTGTACGGTCTAGTCCCATCGCTTAAGCCCGCAACGCCAAGCCTAGACAGGAAGTGCGGCAGACGGAATATAGTTGATCCAGTACCCGTAGGACATCACATCATTCGCAGTGGATCGTCCAGCAATCAATTGTCAGCCAAATGTCAGCGCCGGTCCTCGTCATAGTTTGCATAGTCTCAAGCTCCAGCTGTGCGCATGGCCAATGATGTGACCGGTTTTTCAGTCGTTTGGTCTCGGTTCGTCGTCCCCGCATCTGGGTGGGATGTGGCCCTGAAGATCAATGTTCCTATAGGTTAGGAGGCACGAACGAGTGAATGTAGCTAGACGGCCCCTCCTTTCCTCGTCCTTCAACAGAAAATCGCATTAAAAGGTGCCAGAGGTATAGATGGGCAAGATTGGGCACCAGAGACCCAATGATGTGCTCATCTCCAGCCTTTCCATCGCTGCCTAGAAGAAAAGCAAAACATGCACGCACCACATGCTGGTTAAAGTGAGGGCTGGACGACAAAATGAACAATCTCAACTCCAGCCATTTCATCGTCATCTAGAAAAAGAACAAACAGAGCACGAGCCGCACTCTGGGGCATGTGTGGTAGAAACGGACCACCAAAGCTTCCGGCTAGCGAAACCGCCTTCCCTACCCCTGGTGCCGGGCCATAGTCAGAGTCAGACCAGCCGGCAGAACCAGCAACTCGGGATCGTCTGCTTCATATACCTGGTCGATTGATATGAGAGAGTCGCTCCGGTCTCCGCTCTGGAGATGAATTCCAAGTTTCGGATCGGCACTAGTAAGGGTTCATCTTGTAAGTTGTTCGTTCAAAGGAGCGATTGCGAACTGAGACTGCTGGGAGGTGAAGCTGTCTGTAATATGCCCAAGTCTGAAGGAGGGGCCCAGCCACCCGGATTTGTGGGTCGAACCTGGCTCTCAGCCACCCGAGAGTCGGGAAGGTGTGGGGCAAGCGGTCGCATCTGCCCTATGGACATGACGCTCTAGGGGATCTGGAGTGCAGCGGCAGCAGCTAAGCTTCTGTACGTTAGAGGGTCTGTCTGCCAGCGCAGCAGTGTTGGGGCTACGCCACGGGTGGGTGGGTGCATGTGACGGGCGCTACACCGACACCAGGACTGGCGGTAGTGATCTAGTAACGGTTGCCAGCAACATCACCTCGTCCGTTGCGCATGGCTGCTCATGTCAGAATGCGCCTCTGTTCGTTTCACATCGCGCCGCGCTGGCTATTTCTGAGGCGTCGTTGGTCAAGCGAAATGGCAGGCAGCGCAATTGTCCGTCTGCGCGCAGCTTCTGACGGCACTCTGCAGGGCCCCTGGACCAAGTGCCGGGGTCCTGCTGCAGCTCGCGGTGGCTGGGACGCACCTGCCCAACCTTCTGAAAATCCATCGCCGTCCAGCCTCTCACAATCCGCCCAACTGCCCAACCATATTTCATTCCAGTCACCTCGCAGCCCGTCATGCACCCTCTTTTCCCACTCTGCATTGCATGTCCCGCGAACCCATTGGCCGTTCTATCAGTGTGGAGGGCTGCCTGCATATCGAACTAACCCAACACTTCCACTCTCCAAGCAATGAACTTCCAAAATCTCAATTTCGACTATGTGGAAGCTCCTCGTACGTTGCACACTCTGAACTAGCCTGAACAGATCTGCTCCTCCTTCACACCCTCTTCTCTCTCGCCCTCCCTCCTTCTCCTACACTTTACCTACATCATCCCACGCTTCTGTGTGAGGGCTACCTTGATTCATACTCGAGCACACCTGCACTTACACACACACACTCCGGCAGAGGCACGTCCCCTCTTGTCTCACACCACCCCTCCCCCTCCAACACCACCACATACTGCAACCACTGTATATCTGTTGGCCGGGATCGTGTACGGTGTCACTGACTCTTGCTGCCTCGAATACAGGCCACTGGCCACAGCAGTTTCAGTCCGCTGAAGCTCAGCCATCCGACTCCGAGTCAACCATCCAGCAATCGCAGG